GGTACACACTTAGGAATTTTCAATAAAAATAAACATAAATATCTGTAGCTTAAAAAAGTCATTGTGAATAAATCACTACATTTGTGAAGCTGGCCCCAAATCATTTTTACCCCTTTTGATCTTTATTTTGACTACGGTCACATTATTTTCTGGGTTGTGTTAAAGTATTTGAAGTGTTAGTTAGCTTTGTGAAATGGAAGGATTTGCTGTTCAGAAGGGGGCTGTCTCCCCTGTTCTGCTCTCTTCTGTAAAGTTGTTTTATTCCGTGCTTGTTTTCTTTTTACACTTCACCACACAAAAAAAAGTTGCTATTTTCCCCAAAAGTTCTTGAGTATGAATAGTTATTATTAATAGCAATAAATGATATAAAATAATTATTAAAGTCAGATTAAAAATAAATGTAGTGTAACTTGATTTTGGTTATTACTTTTGTTAAAATCTATCAAATTCAGCTACTTGAGGTTGCCACCTATAGTATTATTAAGATATCACTGATCATCATAACGTTGGTAGATTCAAATTGGCTTATCATGGGCCTTTTCTCCATTTGATAATAAGAGCCCTAAGACTCTCGGTCTAATTACCAGCGACAATGGAAGGCGAAGCTGAATGGCACTGATGGGGTCAAACAGAAGGTTATTAGCTGTCCTCATTACAGCTTGACTAAAATTAAGAGGACGTAAGGTCTTATTCTGATCCTGATGAATAATATTCCTTTTGATTGCTCTTTATGGTACAACAATTTAATGATGTTGACGGTCAGGCAGAGTCTAACAGGCATACATCTTAGAGATAAGAGTGTGTGCTTGTGCAGGACAGTATACAATCATCAGGAGTTTCAATACTTGAGTGTGTTGACTTGGTTCATTTTAGGATTTTTGAAGCAGTGACACATTAAAGTACAGTAAAATCAATTAAAAAAATGAATACTACCACCTTGAGATAACACATTTAAAGTACAATGTTGTACTTTTACGCAAAGAATAGCAGATAGAAGCACAATCATCAAAGCATGTATTTCTGTTTTATTGAAGTACTCATAGTTGCTCAGACACATGTATATACAAATACAGATAATTTTTTGTCAAATTTTCTCGTTGTTTATATACTGTAAAAGAGCAAGTTGGAAACATTCCCCACTGATGGCAAAGTAGGAGCAGGGTTCAAAGGGGCAGGAGGAAGGACAGCAGGTGGGGTGTTGGGGGTTGTATAAGCGCAAGAAGAATGAGGCAAGACATAAAAACTAACAAGTGGTTCATCAGCCAGAGGAGAGCTGAGAGGCTTTGCTCTCGAGTACAGAACCTGGATCGATGTTAGGCTTCGCCCCTGTTAACAATCCAGCTCAGGATTTGGTGGAGGGGGTACTCTAATCCTTGAACTGTGCCCAGGACCACCATCTACCATAGTGACAAGTGATTTGGGGTTGTTAAAAAGGGAGAGAAAGTGAAGGGCCCTGTGGTAGTCTCTTGGAAGCCAGCAGCTGTTCCGTGTAAAAGCACAATGGCAGAAAGCATCTTGAACACAGACGGGCTGCCAGCGCAGAGGCTGTAGGGCTAAGGCATGGGAAAAACTCTTCACTGCCAAAGAGGGTTGCCGCTTCCCAGTCACTGGAATAACAGTAAATGAGACATGCACTCACACTCAAACTTATAGGTTTCACACAGTTTTTCAGACCGAGAAATGTCCACATTGATGTACCTGCTCCCATGATGTATCAGCTCCTCATCATGGGAGTGCAGTGAGAGGATGAACAGGTTTGAGGAGTCATGGGATGAATGCCATAGATGGATACACAGACAGTCCTTCTTCAGAACAGAAAACTTGCTTTTGAATTACAAAATGACCGACCCCCACTGTAACTTCACAACAAATGCTTGTGTTATGTACATTTGTCATCTCTAACTACATGGTTTGACATCACTCAAATGGGGAGGCAAAAACACACAACAGAAACAGTGATCAGAAAAATCTAATACATCTGAAATAAAAAGAAAACAGCAAAAGAAAACTTTCTGAAAACTATTTTTTTCTTTTTTTCCTTAACATATCAAGTTCATGCGCATGCCACATAATGAAACTGGTGAGATCCTTCCAATAAAACATTGACAGTCCACTCATAGCTGATCTTTTAGCTGACCAACATGCTTCTACAACCCTGAAGGCAAAATAGTACAAATAAGCCATCAATCGAGTCCCGAATGGTTCATTCCAAGGCAGGATCCTTTTATGAAGAGATGCTGAAGGTTGGTGACCGGTTTGAAACGTGTAAGAGGTGAGCCTCTCATTGGCTAATGTCCAGCCCTCTGCACACTGATGTGTACAGCTCCCAAGTTTCCCCTTTGTATTAACTCAAAGTCTCTTTAAGCATTGAGGACCAAAGCACACAATGCAGTGTTTGAGAACAGTAGACACTCCGCAAAACCCAGAGATAATACGGCATTTTTAGAAAAGACATAAGAACCAAATTAATACTTTAATATCAAACACTATTTACATCAAGAACTTTTCCTAATAATAATAGTCATAATCATTATCATCATAACAATAATAATAATTATACAGTTTTAACAATGACATATCTCGGTTTTCTTCTTTTGTCCTCAAGAAAGGTACAAAACAGATACTAACCTAACACTACATGTTTTATGGTTGACTACCTCAGGATACACGGTATCCAGTACATAAGTTGATCCTCATTTCCCAGGTGAAGGTGTCTTAAGAACAAATCATGGTAATGACAGCAATTATGACAAATAGTATTGATAATTGTAAGAGTATAATTGAAGCTGGCTTCTGATAAAATGTTACTGTTCACCTGCTGACAAGTCTTGAATCGTATGCAGTGCTTATTTCACATGATGTTATTATAAAAAATTAGTACCTCATTAAATGGCCTTGTCTCCTATTACCCCTCATAGATGAGCTGCTATTTTGCTGTAATAGCATTGTACAAAAACAAAAAATGGCCTAAGGCAAAAGCTGTTTTTTTTCTATAAAAAAAAAAGAAAAAATAAGCCACGAAAATCAAACCAAAGCTAAACAGTGCAGATATTTGAGGCTGAATGATACTAAACAGCATGTTTGCCATTCAATGGGAAGTTTTCCAGTTAGGCTGCATGGATCTTTTTATTGTTTTGTCTACGATGATGTTTTAGGCACTAATCATACTACCTTCAGCTACCGCCCATGTCTTTACAAACTCTGTGTGTGAGCAATTCTCCTTTTCATTCTTTCTGTCTCCTTCAGTCACCAGTCTTCTCAAACTGCAAGGTCACTGGTGCTTTAATACCCCCCACAGAGGAAATATATCCCACCCCCTCCCTCCCGAGACCCCCCCTCAAGCCTTTCACCATCTATTTTTAATACCAGAAATAACTCCCCTTGCCACAACATGGGGTCTGCATGCCTGTCATTTTGAACCTCATTAAAGAGTCACTTAAACCAGTAACACAAGGAGCTGAAGGTGGACATTCATTTGCTCCTGTGCCCCTTTACTTGGTTCTATTTCTCTCTTCTGTTTGTCTCCCTAAACAATTTGTGTCCTGTCTCATAGACCCGTTGCTCAGAAAGTAACTCAGCTTCTGTAAGGATAAGTTTCCTAGATGTTCATAACTTTTTTAAAGTAAAGAAAACATTCCCTATGAAGAATTTGAATTATGTGAAATTGCTGTGTGCATCATTGCTGTCCAGTACATTCGTTTGTGCTACAACTGACAAGTATTAAGATATTATAAGCAACAATTGCTGTATAATCAAGGAAACATTTTTTTTTAAATGGCACTTTAAAAGACACTTAATATTCAAACTGTTTCCCCTGTCCTAATTAGATCTCAAACCAAATTTTATTGTATGTGCAGGTTTAAAAACAGTGTATGATGGCATGATTGTGAGAGTCAAATGTTTAAAGTCTGAGAAGAAATTTACTCAGGGGTTTTATATGAGAATTATTTTTAAATAGTAATTTTAGCAATCAATAGAGAGGTGTGTAGGCTCTGTAGATGTAAATGTTTATGGGAGTGTTAATATTGACGAATGCTCAACTGGAACAGAGAAAACAATTGCAGCCCAGCTCAGTAAACATTGCACGAATTATGGCGCTTGTTGCCGTGAAATTATGTGATCAATTTTCAAAAGATATTGATCCTAGATCTTAACACCCCTCAACAAAGTGTCTGGTGAGAAAGTTTTATTTCAGTTGTTTTGTGAGTCAGAGCGTGTTCCATTCTTTGAGGGATATTTTATCACCTCTATAACTCTAAGTAGCCTATCTGTAGCATGTTCACATTTCTCAATGTTGCAGTGTCTTAAACTAAACTTAATCCCAATTTAAAACATCATTCCTCTTTTTTATGTCTTCATTAGATTTCTGTTCTACTTTGCAGTAAAACAGAGCTCTGACAATCTACCTCTTCTGACTCGGTTCAGCTTGAACAAACATTTTCTGAAAGGCTCCATGAGAGGTCTCGGGACAGCTTTCTATGTTGTGCATGTGCAGTAATTTCCAAGTCCAAATCTTCAGGGTCCTACTGAGTAATACGACTACTCCGTCAACTATTGTTAAAAACACTTCTGCTGTTTTTGTGTGTGAGAGTGCAGTGCTGTTATGCTGTATAACACTGTCTGTACGCATGTGCTATACAATACATTGTTGTTTGTGTGGGTAAACATCAGTGCTGCTATGACAAAAATGTGATGTAAAGCGATGTTAGAATTCACAGGAAAATAAGAATCACAAAAAAAAAAACAGGATTTGGCATCTTAGTCGAAGGTTTGAGAGGGGAAACTGTCTCTCCCACTTCTAACATCAACTTTGTTCACTCACAGACGGAGAAAGACCACTTAAATATTTTTCTGAAAAAAAATAGAGGGTTCCTTTAGAAGCCTGCTCTTATGCCCAATCAAGCAAATGCATTCCACCCTAATCCTACCCCCCTACAACTCAGCCTAGGGCAGACTCAGGCCACGCTAGGTGTAAATGACCTCCAGCATAGAGGGATGCGCTATAAAGTGGAGAGTGCTGCTAGGCTGACCAGCAGTGAGGCCAGAAGTTGACTTGTTTTCTGCAGCTGTGCCGCAGCATTTGTTTCACTTCGGGAAGGTGCAGCTGTTTCGTGGCTGGTATCATCTAAAAGATAAAAAAATGAAAATAAAAAAGGTGAATGCCATGGGTTTCTCTCCCGTGACAGAAAATTACAAACAAACATTAATCATCTGCCAACTTTTAACTTCATTTTTTTTTTTTTTTTCTTACAAAGTGCACATTACATTTGTCTTTTTTACAAGCAACATTTAGGAGAAGAATTTGGGGTTCATGTCACAAAGTCTGAGTTGCCATTTGAACTTCAGTTGCTATATAATGTTTCCAGTTTCAGTGTCAGAAACATTTTGAATTTATCTCCCAGGTGAGCTGCCACCAGTGTCTTTGTAACAGGGACATCTGTATCCATGTTCAATGTTTGCCCACTGCTTCATGAAAAAATTGCCGAACCATGCACAGCATAGGGCAGAAAAGACAGAACTGAGAATCAGACATTTGAAGAATTAATGTTTTAATTTTACTCATTTAGAATCCATAAAGCAGAGAATGAGCCAAAAGAAAATTGTTCCTTTAAATTAGAGCTAGCCATTAAGCATGCAAGCTTTATAGGACAGTGGGAAAACCAGCACAGAGGAAACCAGATAGGCCTACATAAAGAAATGTCCAGTCATCTGAACTTGCTATGTGTTCTCCATTCAAGTGTAAGATTATATTGCATACTGATTTGTATAGATGGAAACTTTTGGAGAGGTTTTTTTTTTTTAGCTTTGTGTTTTTAATATAATCTAAAGTGTACTTTATTATATTTTCTGACAGGGGAATGGTATTTCTATCGTTTCAGATCATGAAGTGAGCTGCTGCTGCTGGGAATTAAAGAACCATATGTGGCTAATGCGGAGTGTTTTTTTCTCTTGTGTGCAATATAATCAAAGACATTTGCTTGCAAGTGAATGCATCTCTAATTTCAAATTGTATTCTGTTCTTTTCTCCTATCATAATTGTGGCCATATAGTTACCTGTACAATGTACAATGACTGTATGGATACAAAGTACAAGAATGGAATCATTGTGCTAATGAAGATAATGAAGACCTGCAAATCACACCATGTAAATGGAATGTACAGATGCATGTCAAGACAATTTATAGCCCACAGTATAATTAGATAAGTAGTTCAACATGTAAGCAGCAACAGTGACACAACACCAATATGGCAATCTTGAGAAAAATAGGTCTCTGAGAAAACACATCAGGCAGTGATGTGGAAGGACATGCAGCACAGAACAAGAAACATATGCAGGAGTCATACAGAAAAGGGTAAAAGAAGCAGGAAGCCATACTAACCTCGTGGTTCTAACGTATTGTCTACTTTGTCCTCTACATCAAAAACAGGGTCACGTGCACCTATAGTTTTCACACAGCTGTCTATAACAGAAAATAGGGAGAATGAGAAATCATTAGAGGTGGATACCAAATATGTTAGATACATTTGTATCCCCTCCACCCCACCCTTAACCCCTCAAATTAAACATCCCAAGCAACAAAGCTCATGGCAACATTCAGATGATTTTGACTGATGTCATGTTTTCAGAAAATATTTTCACAACAACTGAAGCTGGTCTGTGATAAATTAAAAGAGCATGTTGGACGGTGAGCTAAAGGAAATAAGGGTAGGGATGTAAGTGCGTAATTGGTCAAATTTGTTTTGATTTTTGGTTCAAGTGTGTCCTTTAACTTGGCCTGTTACAAAGCCTTGTATTGTGTGCAAACACTTACTTGATGGTCGGACGAAAACTTTGAGCTTTAGGCATGTTTTCCTCCCGTTCTCGGCAATGGTGGAGGCTGAAAAGATGAAGCAGGCACAGGTAAGGTTGCTGTTAATTCAATCCAAACTGCATGTGCAGTAAACAATATTCCACAGCGCAGAGAGAATGTTCCGCTCAGATTTGATATACAGTATTATTTCTTTGGAACTAATTAACTTGGTTTTTGGAGAAAAAAAATCTAAGTCATTAATGTTGACTTGTAAGTGGATTTTGTCAATTTAGTTATGGCTCTTGATTAATTATAACTTAAAATCAAAATCCTTTACAAATGTTGAAGGGAACGCAGGGAACTTTACTCACAGTTTAATTGCAACATTTCTTATTATTCATTCTTTTCTGCTATAGAAAAACTGGGAGACACAACATTTTATGAACACTTCATATGCCTATGTTGATTTGTTTTTCCACATGAAATCATGTGTGCTCTTAAAAGTGAAGCAAAGTTCCCACATAGAGGATATTTATGCTGCATATGTAGATGGTTTGTGGTTGCTGTCAGGAAATGGATCTCTTCCTGTGAAGTCCGCGGGGTGTGAATCTCTGAGAGTTAGTTACCAACGCGGTTGTATCACCTCCACTAAAAATATCTTGAGTCGCGTACGTGTGCGAGAGTGTGTGTGTGTATGAGCGGTTGACCACTAATGGTGTGTGGTGGGGCACCAGGTGCTGTCTCCTGCAGACAAGGATCGGGGTCAAACACATGTCAGTTGGGGCATGGTGGGTGAGAGCTGTAGAAGAGCGTACTGTAGTTTAAAAATATATGTTTCTGTCCTGGGTCAGGACATCATCAAAATGAGAAAAATGTCAGTTCTTCCCATTGTTGTGAAGCTACTTACTTTTTTTTATCCAAGCTGATCTCATTGTATTTTTTTTCAGTTGGATATAATGGGGCAAGGCATTCTACCATCTAACTATCTATCAACTCCTCTCTCATGAGCCTTTACCTAAACCCTTGCTTTTATGGTGACATATTTCAGATTTCTATGTGCAATAACTGAGGCATTCAGCAAATTTCCTGTTTTCAAAGTGTCACGGTCACTAGATGCATTCAAAATGTATTAAAAAGACGCAATTATTTCACAATTGTATGCTTCAGACCTGATTAAATCAGTACACAGAAAGGACTTAAAATAAGTAATTGTGTATTTTACCAGCAAAATATCCACTGGCATCAGATGGAGGGCACCAAACAATGGTGCATCCCTCTGGCTGACTCAGTTTAGCTCCTTTGCAGCCTCTTAATGAGCAAGCTGGAGGTGGTGATTTGTTCATTTGCTACGAAGCTGCAATCTGTGATATATTCAGCATGACACTTCACTATTTACAATGGACACTACTCAAATGCTCTCACAACCCACAATTTTCAGTGAAATACAAATTTACAGTCATGGTGGGGGAAAAAAAATAACAGGTCCTACACAGCCAGGGCATGCACCACTATTCTTTCTTTCTATCCTTTTGCTGGCGCATGCTTTGAATTGTGCTGTACAGGCTGCTTATTTACTGGACTGAATTTACAAGGAGGTTGCAAAATGAAATGACAAATTGCACCCACAGATCCTAGTTGGGGATGAACCGAGTCAATATTTGATATACAATATATTTGACTAGTAGATCAGCACTGCTTTTAAAACTCCTTAATGAACTGTCCTTATTAATTTCATAATTTAACGACCAATTCAATGTAAAGACATGGATAAAGACTGTTTCTCTGTATGAAATGTTTTCAGTTCGGGAACTGCTTTGCTTTCTAGTATGCACCTCCTAGTTGAAGCAAAATTAGATTGTGCATTAAGCAGCATTTTATGTACTGCATTCCCCTCTGCTCTCCGCACAGCTCATCTAGCTCTCGCTGCCCCTTTCGATTCATGACCTCACTGCTATCATTTTAATTTTGTCACCTTATCAGCTGTTATCTATTTCTTCATAACGTGTCACCATACAAGACGGGTCGCTTGAGATCAGATTCTATTTGCCACAGCTGAGTTAATGCTCAGCAGATATGCAGAATGGGGAGGTGAGCGTGGAAGGAATGGAGGGAACAGAAAGAAATAAGGCCTTATTATTTTGCCATGGAGGCAGCTGATGACACGCTAATGAACCTCGGCCACTGTCGCTCACCCACTCAGTCACCGGTGCCCACGCAATTTATGTCACTCCTGTTATTTCTCTACTTCTTTACTCTTCCATTTTTAAAATGTGTACATACAGGGACAAATACACAGCGTTTCCACATGTTTTATCTTCATCATCGTAGTGGGCTGGGTTGACTCACAGCCATCGACACCAGCCACTTAGCAAAGGCAGCTGATTATGAGAGAAGTATGGCCCTGATGACAATGGGTAAAGAGCATGTGGGAGCCCTTCTTATGCTGGCAGCTTGTGAAGCCGTTTATAGATTTGGCCATGACTCTCCATTTGCCTCCAAGAAAATTGTGGACTTAAGTAACAGAAGTAGACTATCATTTAATATTCGGAGTTTTGTTTTCGTTCTTTTTAGTACTCGGCAGAAAATTCAGAGGTAGTATTCTTTTTACTATAAATACAGTATGTGAGAATGACCAAACATAATCACACATTATTATAATTGAGTTTCCATTTACCCATCGCTTTTGTACATTCACACAAAGTAAAGAATGAGCTTTGGCTCTATGTAGCGCTCTTGAAACAAATCATACCCCCGATCCAGTCTGTCCACACCATCACTTGTGTATCCTAGATTAACAAGCTACTGAGGGACAGCTTATTGTACTTGGATGTGCCGACATCACCACCTGTTATTCTTGTAACCTTCAGCTTTGCAACCCTAACCATCAATCCATCCGGCCTGAGCAAGTGGCTGCTTCGAAGGACAGAGAGCCTAAAAAGAGAGGGGGGGGGGGGTTGTGGGGCAAAGGTCAGGTTACTTCTCTGTGCTATGTCCCCGTATTGGCAATGTCCAGTTTTTTCAACACACTGCATTATGCATCTGTGTTAATGGAAATGGAATGCAGTAGAGTCCAATTATGGAAGGACTAACAGGTTGGGTCTGTGGATCTTTGGCAAAATATTGTTTCAGTCTCAGTTCAAGCCAAGCACCATTGCAAAAGAGTAGCTTTGCTCCTTAAAAGGAAGATTCATATCCCAGATTTGAAAATGTAAAGTTGCATGGTGATAAAAGCTTATTTTAGCGAGAAAACAGTAAATTATACGAGGGCAACACACTGATCCATCATTTAGGATAAGTCGGTGTAGTTGTATTTTTTGCAGTCTTAGACTTGGCTGCTGTAAATTATCATAGCCAGTCAAGACAATACTTGTGATTCTACAAGATGCGCTGAGGGCTCCCAGAACCATTGTTCTGTTCTACAAAGAGTCTTTTTATTCCGGTCTCTGTTTGACAGAAGTCATTTCAATCAGCGTAGAGCAGATGAGTTGGACAAGAAGTCAGGCACAATACCGACACAGACAGCCATAGTGATAATAAAAACTCTCTGTTCCGACTCCCACTCATATATCACATGACTGCAACTTTACAACTGATGACAGCAGGCCAGAAATCAACCTGTCTGAAGATTTCAAGCATGGATAATGAGAGTTTCAGCAGCCCAAAAACAAACTGTTCCACCACACCAGAAAATCTTACATCAAATGAAGGGCGGGAGAAAAAAGACATCAAAATGAACTGCAGGATTTCCAAAGGCTTAAAAAAAACTTTTTTTATCACAGAGATATGTGATTTAAACCTGCCTAAATGTGATTTGTACAGTCAAGCAGAGGATATGCACGGCCTCTGAAATCCTCCCAGTGTGAGAGGAAGCCTCGTAAGGGGCAAAACAAAACCACACTGCTTTCAGAATATGATGCAACGGCATCTACTGGGTGCCGTCAATAATCGGTCAACTTCAGTCCTGGCTATGGCATATTTCTTCAGTATTCTGCAGGGATCTAATTGTCTTTGAACCATTGCTGAAGTTTGTAAATTAGCCACGCAGTACACGTCATTAGAAACTAATGCATCACAAACTGCTTAAAATCCAAGGCAAAGCTTCAGGTTCCCTTGTGTTTCAAGATTATGGTAAACATTATTTGACTTCTGGCAACAAACTGAGTCAAATCATGCTCTAAACTTCCTTGTCTGAACTGTCCATTGGTCTATTCGTACTGTGATGAAAAACCTTTCCTCTTTTCCTACCACAATATTTCACTGCAAAGCCCTCCTTCAGTTTCAATTTCCAGCCTTGGACAGACGTGCATGTTGTCACGTGTACATGTAACACCAATAGCATCAAATTAGCATGCCTCTAGTCTGCTTCAGGTCTCCAGCTGGCTTGAATAATGGTATAAAATCCTTATATCCCTTCTTATTTGGTAGATGGAATGGGTTTAACTAAATATCCAACAAAGTTGTGTCCAGCACTGTGATTTCCTTGTCAGACAATTCTGCCAGCTCTCTGAAACACAGCCCACTGGCCTTGTCTGTCATTTTCTAGGATTACTCATGTGGATTATGTTGTACAAACCCTGTTAAAGTTTAGGTCTTGGAGTCTGAGTAAACATGGAACAATTTCTAAGAGATGGGACGCACAAAAACAAATTTTCTCACATAGTGCTGCCTTCCAGAAACATCACACCATCTCTATTTGTACAGCTTGTGGCCATCATACACCATTTACAAAAGTCCATGGTTAGAAAATGTCGAGCTCCAGACACAAGAGGAAACCTTATACTGAATGGATTTAAGTATGTTTCTGAGAGATATAATCTTTATACGACCTCCTAAGTAAAATCAGCTGCTTCAGTCTGTTCGGAATAATATTTTCCATGCTGACACCCGCACACATGCTTTAAATAATACATGTGCGATTAAATATTCATAAGAACAAAATTATTAAACCATAAATGTGTTTGCGTGCATCTGCACATAAGAAGATCGAAGACACCATCAACTGAAAGGGGCCATTAACCAGATGTTTCTGAAGTGAAGACAACAGGAGAGAATGAAAGAGCCATAGGGTAAAACATGAAGACTTTGAG